AAAAAAAAAAAAGAAAAAAGTTTATGTTGATTTCTGAGAATTGCTTGAGCCCAGGAGGCGGAGGTTGTAGTAAGCCGAGATTGCACCCCTGTGGTCCAGCTGAGCAACAGAGCATGACTCTGTCTCAGGAAAAAAAGATTATGCTGCCCTCATTAGCTTGGGAATGATTCCCCTCGTTTTTCTAGTCTGTGGGAGGGGAGGGTTTAAGATCAATATCTAGCTGGGTGCGGTGGCTCCCTCCTGTAATCTCAAGCACTTTGGGTGGCCAAGTGGGCAGATACCTGAGGTCAGGAGTTTGAGGCCAGCCTGGCCAACATGGCAAAACCCTGTCTCTACTAAAAAACAACAAAAATTCACCGAGCATGGTAGCAGGTACCTGTAATTCCCAGCCTACTCCGGGAAAGCTGAGGCAGGAGAATTTGCTTTGAACCTAGGGAGGCAGAGGTTTGCCGTGAGCCAAGATTGGTTCACTGCACTCCAGCCTGGGCAACAGTGTGGGACCTCTGTCTCAAAAAATAATAAATAAAATTAAAAAAAGAAAGATCAGTATCTCTTCCTCAGCCCAGGTCTTTGGTGGCTCATGCACTGTAATCCCAACCACTTTGGGAGCCGAGGCGGGCAGATCACATGAGGTCAGGGAGTTTGAGAACCCAGCCTGGCCAACATGAACTGAAACTCCGGTCTGTACCTAAAATACAAAAGACTTAGTTTAGTGTGGTGGACGCTGAGGCCCTGTAATCCCAGGTTACTTGGGGGCTGAGGCTAGAGGAATCTGCTTAAAACCTGGGAGGCGGAGATGCCAGTGACGACTGGAAGATCGCACCATTGCACTCCAGCCTGGGTAGGTGGCAGGACTCCATCTTCAAAAAAAAAAAAAAAAATTCTTTTCTTTCTATCTATCTATCTATCTTCCTCTTTCATCATCATCTTTTTCCCTTCCTGAACAGTTCAAACCAAAAGTCATTAGGTAGGATCAAGCAAGATAGATGTTTATGTAGTGGGGAGGCTACAGTGCTGGAAGTACCAGATGCTGGGCCCCTGAAGCTGAGGTGGGTGTCAGTACAGGTGGCAGGTGGCAGCAGCTCAGTACATAGAGACTGGGCCCAAGCAAGATCAGAGGGGCATCCATGCAGGCAGGGGTGGAGAGTAGAGGAGGCCAGGCATGGAACAGTGAAGTGTGAAGCGGGGGTAAGGAGGCTGACCCACAGGGAGGTCTAGAGTGGCGTGGCGAAGTCAAGTGGGGTGAGCAGGGCTTTTGCATGGAGAGGGGACGGCAGTGGCGCCTGATGTGGGCAAGGAAGTTGTGTCTGCGTGGTTGAGAGAGTGGAGACAGAGGAGAGGGTGATTGTGCCCTCGGGAGGATACAAGAGTCCAAGCATCCTAAGGAAGACGTGCATTTGGGGGGTGTGTGGCAGCAATAGTGGAAGACTGGTTAAATACAAGGAGATTAATCAAATATGTAAGTATATTGAGTATAATGGGAACCACATTTTTCACTGTCAAAGAAGGGAATTATAAACATGGAAAGAGAGAAACTCGAATCAACTCTGTGGTGTTGAATTTGAATTGAAGACATTGATACGAAATTATGGTTTTCAGTATACAAAGTGAAGACAGTTGTGAAGCAATCTGATTGCAGATTCTCTTTACAGTTTTATTACCTTAATCTTTTATAAGTGTCTCACCCCGTGCTTAATTTGATGGCTCTTTTTTTTTTTTTTTTTTCCCAATAGAGATAGGGTCTTGCTCTGCCGCCCAGGCTGGAATGCAGTGGTAGGATCATAGCTTACTGCAGCCTTGAACTCTTGGGCTCAAGTCATCATCCCGCCTCAGCCTCTCGAATAGCTATGAGCACAGGTGTGCACCATCACTCCCAGCTGATTTTTAATAATTTTTTATAGAGGCTGGACCCAGTGGGTCATGCCTGTAACAGGACTTTGGGACGCTGAGGTGGAAGGATTGCTTGAGCCCAGGAATTTGAGACCAGCCTGAGTTACATAGTGAGACCCGGTCTCTAAAAAAAATAAATAAATAATAAAAATTGGTGACACACACCTATAGCCCCAGCTACTTGGGAGGCTGAGGCGGCGGGAGGACTGCTTCAGCCCAGGAGGTTGGGGCTACACTGAGCCAGGATTGCACCACTGCATCAGGGTTTCGAACTCCTGGCCTTAAGCGATTCTCCTACCCCAGCGCCCCAAAATACTGGGATTATAGATGTGAGCTACTGTGCCCAGCCAATGGCTATTCTTTTTGCAACTCATTACCGAGTTCTCCCAAAGCTTTCAACACGGCTTTTGTAGAAGTAACAATGTCCTTTGTTTTTGCACGTATTTCATCAGTTTACATGCTTGATTAAATTTGGTATTAATTACAATAAAAGATGCAACTGGAATAAACAGATTTGAGAACAACTACAACCAACCCTTGGTTTGGTAAGCATAGAACTCAACTGGAGGGAGCAGAAGATTATCATACTACCAGCCAGCATTTGGCAGACCGTGAGCATTAGAATGACCGTGAGGTTAGAACGTTTTATAGAGGGAAGGGAACGTGCCAGTTAGTATGTTGCCATAGCTAAGTGATTGTTGCATAGAGGAACTTGTACAGTTCTATGAGGCTGGGATAGCCAGATTCTCTTTACAGTTTTATTACCTTAATCTTTTATAAGTGTCTCACCCCGTGCTTAATTTGATGGCTCTTTTTTTTTTTTTTTTTCCCAATAGAGATAGGGTCTTGCTCTGCCACCCAGGCTGGAATGCAGTGGTAGGATCATAGCTTACTGCAGCCTTGAACTCTTGGGCTCAAGTCATCATCCCGCCTCAGCCTCTCGAATAGCTATGAGCACAGGTGTGCACCATCACTCCCAGCTGATTTTTAATAATTTTTTATAGAGGCTGGACCCAGTGGGTCATGCCTGTAACAGGACTTTGGGACGCTGAGGTGGAAGGATTGCTTGAGCCCAGGAATTTGAGACCAGCCTGAGTTACATAGTGAGACCCGGTCTCTAAAAAAAATAAATAAATAATAAAAATTGGTGACACACACCTATAGCCCCAGCTACTTGGGAGGCTGAGGCGGCGGGAGGACTGCTTCAGCCCAGGAGGTTGGGGCTACACT